AAGGTCATATAGAGAATTTATAATTAGGATGGGATAGAGCTATACTAACAACTAACTGTAACTAAAAATCTTTAAATCTATTTAAAATAGGGTATAAGTAACACATTATAAGCATGGGAAGAAAGTAGTAACACATTCTGATTGAAATATCAGTGAAGATTTGGAAATTATAATTTCAGCTGAGCATTAACATCCTATAAGAAACATTTTGATAAATGGCTTAACAGACCATCTTGGCGGTATGCTCTGATCCTCTGCCATTCTTTTTACTGGTTTGCTTGATGATCCTAAACCCTAGTTGCCTTGGGGTACGTCAGCGGACAGTTTGCATGATTAGCCTTCTCTGGAGGAATACCCATGGACAACTGAAGCGGTCTTGTCTCCACTTACCTCATTGCCAAAAGTCAATCATTGATTTGACGGGGGTACTAAAGCCCCATTTCTTTGTCTAAGATGGGATCATGTCTGGGATGGAATTTACATTTCCCAGTGGACCATGCTGACACTGGACTGTTTCTGAAACCACGTTGTGCCATAGCTCCCCCTTCCTTTCTCTCTGTACTGTTTCCCTTACTCAGATTTCACTCTGAAGGAGGTACAAGCCCCAGGTACACTGGCTGGAACCAGGAAATTGTGCCTGAGAGTGATGCTTGGGTGCTGGGGCAAGTGTTTAGAATAAAGCAGTTTGTCGACACAGGGGCACTCTCCTGTGAGACAGAATCACGTGCCCTGGCAAGAACTCTGATGTGCTGCTGGGAAGGCTCACAGCAGCTTGGAAAAGTGTTCGCTCCCATTAAAAGAACAGCAATACTGGAACTGCACCGGCGGCGTATGGAAAAGGACTAAAGGCTCAGAGAAGCGGGCTTGACAGAATGTACCTTTATGTAAGTCCCCAAAACTCACAACTGACTGTGTTGCTAAGAGGGCCTGGAGGGCTGTCCTTCACCTGGTGGGCCTTGTTACTGGTATGGTGGCCAGGAGAAAAGGAGGGAGCTGATCTAAGAGGCAGCAAGCCTTGTCTGGAAGGTAGATCTAAGTTGCATTTCAAAGACAGACCAGGGAAGTGTGGCCAGATGGATGAAGTTCAAAATACAATATAAATTAGCTTTTATTAAAAAATAAAAGTATATGGAAAATGAAAATAGAAAAATAGGACAGAATTTAAATGCTTCCAAGCAAATCAGTGGAAAAATGATTCTGAATTAGTCAGCAATGTCTTCCCCGAGCCCATATCCCTTCCCCCACCATAAAAGCAGCAACAATGGATGTTGATTCAACCCAGAAAATTTTGTATCAAGGCCAAGTCAGGACCTGCATCACCCAGTCCTGTTTCCTGTTCGGCCCAGTGATCTTGGGTGGGAGATTGGGGACTTGGCATGTAAACACAAGACTCTGGAAGCAGCAGAGAACAGAACCTCTACATGGCGGTGAAAGCTCTTACCCACCAGGAAGATAAACATTGTAGATGGCACTGAGTGTATCATAACAAGAGCAATTACAGCCAGAGTGATTACAGCCGCAGGGAGCAGTGCTTCTTTCATTCTGTCACAGAGGGAGGATTTGGGGTTATGGACACATGGTGCATTGGGAGGGAACATAATGTTGGCCTGAGGGAATGGTGTTCTGTAGCCACAGAAAATACAGTCCTCCTTCCTTGCAACATCTGTCACCTTTGCTAATGCCCAAAGTGTGGTTACTGTTGCTTTTCTCAGAATATGTTACACTTTCATTTTAGGCAAGATATCACACACACATCGCCCATCAAGCCTCTTACAGCATTTGCTGAGACATATGGGAAGAGGAACGAGAAGCAGAATATCATGGGAAAAAGTGAAAAAAGAGCAGACCAAGATCAGTTCTCATCAGTTAACCCAGAGCTCACTCAGAACAGAGTCCTAGGAGCGAGAATGTTTGCGAAACATAAGAAATGTTTGTTGTTTTTATAATGTAAAATTCTTAAAGTACACTCTGTCCAACTGCTGCCATTACCTGTGTTTGAAGATCATATAAATCAGTATAGCATACACAAAATAAACTACTCATTATTTTACACACAGTAACAGCTCCACTCCAAGCCCTATGTATAGTAAGAATGCCTTTAACTATTATTAAGCCTTTCACGTTAATAATTTATATTTTAAGCCTACTGAGCCTATTGTTTTTTAAAAAACCATTTTTTTAATGCACTGAAAAAAAGGCTGGTTTGATTTAACTTGTTTTATTCCTAGGTTTCCTGTTGAAGTAGCCACAAAATATCACCACAATATTTTGTGATCTTTTGTGATCGGTGCTAACTATTGAGTCTTGCTCTGAGATACTGATGTGTCATCTGAAAGAAAAATTCTTTCCTAATCAGCCATCTTCTAACTGGCATTTACCTTCCCTCACCATCAATGTCAGTGTGATGATACCACAGGTGGTAGAGACAGGAGTCCCTGAAGATGAACTACCTCCCACAGTTGTGAGTGATTAGATTTCTTTCCCCTGAGAAAATTCTAAGCATTTTCTCAGAACTTTATTTGCATTTAACTCTCCTTTTGGATCCAGGCCAATGCTTTTCTCCTTGCATGTCCTTTGGCATAGCTGATCAGCCGCAGACTGCTCCAATAAAAGAGATGGCACTTAGGTCAATATATTTTCAAATATCTATCAGCATCTTAGAACATATTCCCTTTAATGCCTTCTCTTCAGAGCTCATGACTCAATCCAAATTAGCTGAAAATAGAGATATTCATTTCTATTTTCCAGAATAAGGAAGACTGAATATCCACAGGGCAAAAACCCTTCCAGTTCAAAACAAATGGAAATGCTAGGAAAAATAACAAATACTCTTTTTAAGTCAAAGCTTTGCCAATGAGAAAGTTAAGAAAATTCAAAATCTACAGGCCACTTAAAAGAACAAAAATCTAGAAAGCTGAGCATGCATTGAAGCTGGCAATTTCTTTGCGGACTTGGGTCAGTCTCTAGGAGCCTTTTGTTTAATGAACCATAATTATGTTAGAAGACAAAATCAAGACCTTCCATCAAAGAGCCAAAGATAGACCAAAGACCTAGGTAAGTCTGATGCCTCCGAAAGTCAACATGCACAATACATAAAGGTAAAAATCAAGGCAACATAAACACCAAAGGAAGCAGGCTAGAAAATGTATCTCGGCCTGGTTAGTGATATAGTTTGGAAGTTTGACCCCTCCAAGTCTCATGTTCAAATGTAATTCCCAGTGTTGGAGATGAAGCCTGGTAGGAGCTGTTGGATCATGGGGATGTATCCATCATAAATGGTGGTGCCATCCTCGCAGTAATGAGTTCTTTGAGTTCATGTGAGATCTGGTTGTTTAAAAGAACTTGGCACCTCCTCCCTCTCTTTTGCTCCCTCTCTTGCCATGCGATACACGAGCCTTCCCTTTGCCTTCTGCCATGATTGGAAGCTTCCTGAAGTTTCACCAGGAACAGATGCTGGTGCCATGCTTGTACAGCCTGCAGAATCATAAGCCAAACAAACCTTTTTTTTTCTTTTTTTGAGACGGAGTCTCATTGCAACCTCACCTCCTCGGTTCAAGTGATTCTCCTGTCTCAGCCTCCTGAGTAGCTGGGCTTACAGGCACCAGCCACTATGCCTGCCTAATTTTTGGCATTTTTAGTAGAGACGGGGTTTCACCATGTTGGCCAGGCTGATCTCAAAGTCCTGATCTTAGGTGATCCACCAACTCAGCCTCCCAAAGTGCTGGGATTACAGGCGTGAGCCACCACACCTGGCCTCTTTATAAATTATCCAGTCTCATGTATTCCTTTAGAACAATGCAAGTGGACTAAGACAGTAATAGTGGTCAGCTGAGAGGGACTGCATCCTGAGAATTCATAATCATAAGCTCACACTTCGGTGGACTTGGGGCTGGAATTCATGTTTCCAGTGAGACCCTAATATCCCAAGGTGAAAATCCAGTTTATGGTACTCTTGATTAGGAGTTCCTCCAGGCATCTGGCAGAAGCAAAGATAAGTTATCTAACGAGAGAAGCATTTTCCCTTTAGCCTACTTAAAATTCCTAACATTAAATTCAGCTAAATAGAGAAATTTGCCAAGATCCCACTGTTTTGGGGTTTAAATGTCAGTCTGTGTAGGAGCCAGTGACTAGGCCTTGGGTTTTCGCACAGTGGAAAGAAAGCAGTCTGAGATCCCCCACCCCCACCTCACAGAGGGGTCACACTTTCAGTGAAAGTAAATGCTAGAGGAAAGTCTGCCTACTTAAGGAAAAACCTTAAAGGGTATTTAAAATAAAACTTCTCTATGTCCACCATAGTTCTGAGTGGGGAAAAAATGAAATAGTAATAGTCTCCTCTTGGAATTTCTAACCATAGACTAGCCCACATTTGGGCCGGGATTCAAAAGTAAGTTAATTACAAGGTTGTGAAAGACCTATGCCAATAAATTGTTTTCAAGTGGGGTATTACAGGTTGGGCACTTCAGCAGGACTGAGGTAAGAAATTGAGGCACAGTTGTTTATTAGTGATCAAACCCTGTAAAAAGAAGCAAGAGGGAGCAGGACTAGGCAGAAGGAAAAGATGAATAATGATGCAGGCTCAACAAAGCCCCAGCCAAAAAAGCAGACAGATATAGAAATATGGAGCAAGTACCGCTAATCAGGATGTCCGAGGTGGGCCAAGATCGTCAAGCCATTATACCTGTTTCATGACCTCAAATGCAGTGGCTCTTTGCAGCTGAGGTAGACCCCAGCTACTGGCTTTTTGGGACTGGTTTCATGGAAGACAGTTTTTCTATGCACCAAGGGGTGGAGGGGAATGGTTGGGATGATTTAAGCACATTACATTAATTTTGAACTTTATTTCTATTATTATTACATTGTAATATATAATGAAATAATTATATAAGTCATCATAATGTAGAATCAATAGAAGCCCTGAGCTTGCTTTCCTGCAATCAGATGGTCTCATCTGGCAGTGATGAGAGATGGTGACAGATAATCAGGCGTTAGATTCTCATAAGGAGCTCATAACTTACATCCCTCACATGTACAGTTCACAATAGGGTTCTTGCTCCTATGAGAATCTAATGCTGCTGCTGATGTGACAGGAGGCAGGGCTCAGGAGGTAACAGGAGCAATGGGGAGCAGCTGTAAATACATAGGAAGCTTCGCTCACTTCTCACTTGCCTGTCTGCTCACCTCCTGCTGTGTGGCCCAGTTCCTAACAGGCCACAGGCCAATCAGTCTATATTCCGGGGTTTGGGGACCCTTGGTTTAGCATACTCCACATAGCTAGGCAACAAGCTCTTTCTTGAAGAGGGATCTGTATGCTGCCTCTCCACGTAAACCACATAGACTCAGACTGATGGTACTCTGGGGCCTCACAAAAGAAAATATTTTCTAAAGGAAATATTTCTTTAATTTTTGCCCTTTCAATTAAGTTCAGCAAGGTATGAGTTCAAAATATTAAATTATCAAATGTAAGCAAATAAGCTAGCAAAATAATCAGAAGAAAAGATAAAACGTTAGGCACTGCATAAGACAGCCATACTGAATAGAAAATGTTAGTTCAGATGAATTTTAAGAGTAAAGATACACTGAAAGTATGATTAAGAAACAAAAGGCTAACAAATGGACTAGGTAGCTTTCCATAATTCTATGCAACTAAAATGGAAATTCTAGTAGAAATTGGTAATTTTCTAAGGAAAAAAGAGTTAGCAAAATTCCCAAACAAGATAAAAAGTCTAAGTAAACAATTTTCCACAAAATAATTAGAAACATTACCGAATAACTCTCGGGTTATAAAGTACCAGACCCATATAGACAAGGGAATTTTATGAGATTTTTAAGATCAAATAATGCTAAACCTGCTTAAATTATTTTAAAGCCAAGAAGAAGGAATTATGGATACTTCTTTTAAAAATGCAGACACATGCACATACACACACACACACACACACTCACACCACATGCAAATGTGTATATACCTCAGCCCCATGGCCAGAATCTTTATATAATGGAAAATCACTACAGGTTTTCCTAACAAAATTTGAAATAAGACAAGGATCTATTATTTTCACTACAATTTAACTTTGGATTGGAAACACTAGCTTATGTAATTAAATTAGAGATAATGAAAACATGAAATTAGAAAGGAGAAAGAAAAAACATCTAGTTGCAGATAATACAGTTAAATGTCAGTTAAAATCCAAAAGAATCCATTGGAAAAACTACTAAAATTCTCCAAAAAACAAAATACCTAAACATCCATAGCCTTTATGTGCACAAACAAAATTTAGTAAGATAGAAAAACAGGACACATTTACAACTTTGCAAAAAATAAAATATCTAAACATAAACTTAAGGTCAGAAGTGTAAAACTTGCATGAGTAAAACTTTTATAAAACATTCCTGAAAACACACACACACACACACACACACACACACAAAAGTAGATCTGTGTAAACAGAAACACACATCAGGTTCATACCTTAAAATATGCAACATCATAAAGATGTCCATTCTCACTGAGGAAATTTGTAAACCTAAAATAATTCTAATAAAATACCATGTTTGTCTTAAGTTACAAGCTGATTAGTTGGCTTATTCATAAAAATAGATAAAATGAAAAGTTTTATGAAAGAAAAGCAGTGAGAGGAAGGATGACAAGACCAAATTTTAAAATGTGCTATAAAGTCTCTATAAATAAAATAGTGTGGGATTAGTGCATAAACAGACAAACCAATGACCCAATTTAGTATATCTGAATATAGACCAAAATGCATATGAAATCACAGTATATGATAAAGGCGTCATCTGAAATGGGTGAGGAAGGAACTTTAATAACTATAAAACAAATGAATAACTAAATGGAAAAAGATTAAATTGAATCCATTATTCATACTACCCACAAGGATAAATTGCAAAAGGATCAGATATCTAAATTTGAATAACAGTTCTAAAGCATGTGTATAATAGATGTGTATATATTTCCAGATTTCACTGACAACTGCTTTGGTAAGGGAATTGATGAAACAAATGAACCACTACAGGAATGAAATTCACCACATTTTGTGATGTTTGATTATATAGTAGAGTACACAAAGTGTTACTAATTAACAGTTTTAAACAATGAACACTCAAAAAATCAATGGTGAGGTGAAGGATGCAATCTTGTCATTGTGCTTACTTGACAATGACTAGATACATGGAATGCTTTTCCAAAAGCTAGTCATAGGACACTGCAAATTAATACTTTAACGATGTAATAAATTAGCAATTCACCTATCAGAAAAAACTTTCAAGCATATTAGATGCTATTACTTACATACAAACATAGCTCTAGTACTCTGTACAAATGATAGTCTACACAAACAACTGTAATAAATCAAAGCTGCAAATCAGTGACAACTATTAATTAGTGAAAATTTGAAAGGAAATCTCTTTTAAATATTTACAGGCAAATATCATTACATATTGAAAATATATACTACATTTAAGATTCTATTATTTCAGAATGAACTATTTTTTTTTTTTTTTTGCTTTTTCATTTTAGAAAGTCAATTCCTGTAACTGGTATTTTATAAATTCTACAACTGCTGAAAACAAATCACAGGTTTTAATAATCACTTTCCTCTAACTTAAGCCCTCAATTTAATTCAAAAGTATCTTAGAGGCAGTGATTGGCCACAGTGCTCCAAAGTAGATTTTAGGAGCTTTAAAATATATATATAAATAGAATCCTGCGATAATCTAAACCAAATAAGACCCATTGAAGCCACAGTATCCAAAGAGGTGCAAAAGGATAAAGCCACTTTTTCCAATAATTTGGAAAATTCTCCAATAATTTGATCGAGATAAAATGCAAATATGCATTTTTCTGTGTCAACAGAAATACATAGCAAGCAACCATTAGTTTATTGAGGTTTTTTGATGCACATCACATAGTTTATTATTTAAATTTTTTTTATTTCCATAGGTTACTGGGGAACAGGTGGGGTTTGGTTACTTAAGTTCTTTAGTTGTAATTTGTGAGATTTTAGTGCACCCATCACCTGAACAGTATACATTAAACTCAGTTTGTAGTCTTATTTTTCACCCCCTTTCTACACTTTCCCCCTGAGTCCTTAAAGTCCATTGTGTCATTCTTATGCCTTTGCATCCCCATAGCTTAGCTCCCATTTGTGAGAACATACGATGTTTGGTTTTCCATTCCTGAGTTAACTTCACTTAGAATAACAATCTCTAATCTCATTCAGGTTGCTGCAAATGCTATTAATTCATTCCTTTTCATGACTGAGTAGTATTCCATTGTGTGTGTGTGTGTGTGTGTGTGTGTGTGTATACACATCACAGTTTCTTTATCCACTTATTGATCGAGGGGCATTTGGGTTGATTCCATGTTTTTGCAATTGTGAATTGTAGTGCTATAAATAAACATGTGTGTGCAAGTATCTTTTTTATATAATGACTTCTTTTCCTCTGGGTAGCTATCCGGTAGTAGGACTGCTGGATCAAATGGGAGTTCTACTTTTAGCTCTTTAAGGGATATTCACACTATTTTCCACAGTGGTTGTACTAATTTACATTTCCACCAGCAGTGCAGAAGTGTTCCTTGTTCACTGCATCCATGCTAACATCTATTATTTTTTGATTATGGCCATTCTGCCAGGAGTAAGGTGGGACCACATTGTAGTTTTGGTTTGCATTTCCCTAATCTTTAGTGATGTTGAGAATTTCTTCATATGTTTGTTGGCCATTTGTATCTTCTCTTGAAAATTGTCTATTCATGTCTTTAGCCCACTTTTTGATGAGACTGTTTGGGTTTTTTTCTTGATAATTTGTTTGAGTTTGTTGTAGATTCTTGATACTAGTCCTCCGTCAGATGCATAGATTGTAATGATTTTTTTCCCCACCCTGTGGGTTGTCTGTTTACTCTGCTGACTGTTCCTTTTGCTGTGCAAAACTCTTTAGTTAAGTACCAGCTCTTTCGACACTCACATAAAAAGATTCATGTTTAAACGTTTCAGTGCTCATCTTGTCATTACTAGTAATGCCTTCGTGTTAAAATCAAATTTTTTACTCTCATATAAGCCTGCTGTTGTCTCCTTACTTGAAACTGCAATTGGGTAGCATTAGAATCGGTGGATATTAGAGATTATAGATAATTCTCACACTAGAGGAAAATTCTTCTGAATTTAGGCAGACTTTTCTACTCTTTCCAAAATAAATACTCCTTACTACATTTTTTCTGAATTTTATAAAATGTATTGTCCTTGCTTTGAGCTTTCTTTTTACAGGTGGAAAACCTTAAAACTGTGTGCAATAAACTGTTAAGAGTAAATGAAAAAGGGTGAGCTTGAATAAAATGTAGAAAATCATGACTAACCAATCCAATAGCAGATTATTCTGTTATTAAATAGAGAACTGTTAAATATTTATTAGGATCTTGTGAAATATAAAGGCATTTAAGGCACTTAGTCTCAATCTTCCTACTACATCCTTATAACTCTATAAATTCCACCTTCTTTAACAAACCCAGGCTCTCAGGTTTGAAGCTGGCTAAGCACTCATTCACCTACTGAAGTTGAATGTTTATATGAATAAAATAGGAAAAATCTGCAAACCATTTTGCTTCTTTCCACAGACAACAGATAAGGCTAAAGCAAAGATGGTCAAAGTTACCTCCGTTCTTTCTTAGACCCTCAACTTTCTGTATTGATTAAGAGGACACACTTCAGATTATTCATTCTTATTTGTATTAGCTTTGTGGTTTATAGTTTCATTTGTATTTTAACCCACTTTCAATTCAACAAGTACTTTTTAAATATGTAATTCTAACTCAGCACCATGCTAGGCTCTGTGGGGTAACAGAAGTAAATATAGGATTGTATATGCTTATAAGTAAAAAAAAAAAATCTGGAAACAGCAGAAATGTCGCTCAGTTTGAAAATGCATCATTTTGAATGACAGGACAGAAGTATTGTACTTAGAAGCAAAAGGTAAGCAAAGAATGTGACTACAAGGCTAGGT